TAGTATCATAAAAACAAAACAAAACAAAAACACATGTTTCAGGCCTCCTTTTTTTCACCATCTGTTCTATTTGGTTTCTGCTTTCACCCTTGTTTCCTTGTATGCATTTATAAAGAAATCCCTTTCTCTTATTTTCATATTTGTCCTTGGTTGATATGTTTTTATTTCTGTTGCCTAAGGTGTTTGAAAAGCATATAATTCGTTCATATCTGGTTTTCTTTCTAGAAACGTTTTATTCACCTTCTTTTTTAAATTGACTGTACATCTTTTCATTAGTGGGTACTCTCAAGTTTGCAGGCAATTTCATCTTGGGTTGCATTTTGTGCTCATGTGCTCATTGGAAATTATTTCATTGTTCCATTCTCTCCTGTGGTTTCTAGTAGGTGAAGAACAATCTTGTGTTGTTTGAATTTTATTTCCTTTATTTGGAACCATTTCTCCTGATTGCTTGAAGAATTTGTTGTTTGTGACTGGAATTGTTAAATCTAACCATTATGTATCTTGAAGTTTGTAGCTTTTTGTTTTTTAGAAAAATCTATGAGTTATTTTGATTGACATTTGTTTTATGTATTTAGAAGTTCTTGACAATTTTCTTGTAATATTTCTTGCATTCTGGTGTAATATCTATCTATCTATCTATCTATCTATCTATCTATCTATCTATCTATCTATCTATCTGCTTCTTGTGTTATTCTGGAAGATCTTTAATCCTTAAATTGTCTCTATGCATTCTATCTTTGAGATAAATATGTTTTGTTTATATGGAAATTGTGTTTTAATGTTAATGATTTTTACTTCTCCCAGATTGTCATTCACTTGCTGCCTATTTGCCTTAACAATCATTTGTTCTCTCTTTCATGGGGTTTGCCATTTCTGATTATATCTCTTGTGCAGGCTATACATTCTGCTCACATTTCTTATTTCTCTTTTAAACATCGTGCTGTGATTCCAAGCTCTTCAGAACCCACAGGGTCCTCTGTCTCATCAAGTATTCATTCATTTTCCTTTACTTTGTATTATTTTATTCAAACATGCCTGGATTTTTCATTTGATCTGGAGGCCACATTACTTTCTTTGATTAACATCTTTTCTATTAGATTGTCTAATTATGCTTAAGCTCTTTAACTGAGTTTCTTCCTCCTGATATCTTTGATAATTTCAGGCTCCCTCCACCCCTTATATTCCTACATTGCTCACTTTCTGACACTTGTTTTGATGGTAGTTACCCCACGACCCAGACCTAATGGCTATGTCAGCCTTCTCTATACTATGCGAATCACATTTCATAGGCCTCAGTCTCTGCCTCAAGTGACTTCTGGGGGGAGACAGCTTGTTCCATCTGGATGCTGGGTTCTTTTGCTCATGCTTAGTAGAGCACCACACACACACACACACACACACACACACACACACACACACACACACACACACTATTATGCTGGCATCCTGCACCAATTGTATTTTGTTCTGTAACTGAGATCTGTTGCAACAGTGAGTTCTTTTAAAATGCAGCCAAAACAAGCTTCTTTCTTCAGGTTTTCCATGGCACAGAGATGGAGTGGAGGGCAGAATTGACCTCTGAGGCAGGCCAGTGGATTGACTTATGTACTACTTCCCTGACAAGTAAATGGTAGGAGATAGGGTGCTACATGATGGAGTTGGGGGTTTAGGATTAGCCTTCTCTGCTGTTAACTCATTTTTTTTCAATACCTCATTAGAGTTCGTGGTGTCAGACCATGGAGACAGCTGACATTGCTTTATCTCTTGCATATAACTTTTATTTTTTTAACTTATCCAGCATAACCATTTATTATTTCCTACAGGGTGAAAATAGATTTTTTTTAGTCCAACTTTTATTTCATTCTTTAGGATTTTATTTTACCCCAGTTACATGTAAAAAAATTAACATTCATTTTTAAAACTTTAGCTTCAAATTCTCCCCCCTTCCTCTCTGCCCAATGCCCCCTCATTGAGAAGGCAAACAATTCAATATGTCATGTAAAACACTTCCATAACTGTCATGTTATGAAAGAAAACATAGATCCCAAACCCCTCACTAGACATATTGAGTAAAGTTGTCTACTGGACAGCAATTTCAAGATGTCTGAAAGGCATTTGGAGATGTGAAATTGAGGTCATCAAGAGGTTAGGGAAGGAAAGGTAGATCTGAGAATCGTTAGCACAGAGATGGTAAATAATCCATCAGATTTGTTGAGATCATCAAATATATTCTAGAGGGAAAAGAGAAGAGAGCCTAGGACAGAATGCTGTGAGATATCCATGGTTAGAAGGTATGATCTGGATGTGGATACTGCAAAGGACACTACCAAGAATAGTCAGGTAAATAGGAGAATTAGGAAAGAGCAGTGTCTCAAAAATGTAGAGAGAAGAGGGTGATCAACAGTATCAAAGACAATAAGAGGCTGAGGAGAATGAGAATTGAGAAAAAGTCATTGGATTTAGCAATTGAGGCATCTTTGGTAACTTTGGAAAGAGCAGTTTTGTGGAATGATGAGGTTAGAAATTGGACTGTGAGGGGTAAGAAGAGAATGAGAGGAAATACAGTGGCAACATATTGTAGATGGCCTTTACAAGGAGTGTAAATACAAAGGGCCAATGATGTATAGGACAATAGTGGGGATGGAAGGATCAAATGAGTGGTTTTTGAGGATGGGCAGTAGGGAATAAGCTAATAAACAGGGAGAAATTGAAAATAAATTATAGAGTAGGGATGACAGAGGGGGCAATCTGTTGAAGATGGGATGGACCGGATCATTTGAAAAGATAGAAGGGTTAGCCTTGGTAAGCATGAAAGTGTGACATGAGATTCTAGATCATAAGACTGAGATTTGAGCCCAAGTTCTGGTACTTGTTGAGTAACCTTGGACAAGTCAAGTCAATTCTCAGGGACTCACTTTGCTCATCAATAAAGTAGAGATTTATAATATTTACAATGCCTATATGAATTAACATTTATTAAGCACCTTCTGTGTATCACAGGGTTGTTGTGAATAAAGTGTTAAGTAAACATGAAAGCATTATTTGTGAACCACCACAATTATTCCTACAAGAGATAGGGATTGGACCTGTGACTTCATTGTTATAGAGAACTCTGACATGAGGAAACAATCTACCAATGAACAAGGGTTGGCAACATTGCTGAAGCTTACAATCTTAGAGCTGCCTAGAGCACTTGGGTAAGGTCACCTGTGCATCAGGTGCACATCCTGCTTGGATCTCCTCCACCCCCATACAAAGGGAAAGGAGCTTCATCATAGTGCACAGCCAGAGACAGCCTGAGTTGTCCTACTACTGAAGACTAGGGCTTGTGCCAGCTGCCCTTCCTGAGCTACAGAATTCAATCTTGGAACATTGCTGGGAGGGAAATATTGTGATACCAGGGCCCTCATTCTTCCCATGGTTCTCATCAGTAGACTACAAGCCGTGGCCTCGGCCAAGTGTGGCTGATGAAGTATGTGTTGCAGCAGGAGCATGTGGAGCCAGATAAGGCCTAAGCTGAAGCCCTCCTGCCTGATGATACATCATGGAGATGGGTGTCCTAGAGCTGGCTGCAGGTTCCCATCAGCTCAGAATCAAGTCAATAGAACAAATCTTGAATTTGCTTATGCTCTGGTTATCTTGAGCCGAAGCTCACTGGGATCCTTGTGGATTTCACATAGAAGTCTGAGGTTTTTGGTCTTCAACCATCTTGTCAAAGCAAGATGAACCTCCATCAGATATAGAGATGCTAGTCCCCTTCTGAAGAGAAAGGAGAAGTCCTGCTGCCCTGCTGCCTGAGACTGTCTTCCTGCCTTCTTAGGAAAAGCCCTACAAGGCTGGATGGCCTATACCCAGCTACTCTGTGCTGCCTTACCTGTGGGTTACCTAACCTATTTAAGACCTCAGATACAGGATTCAATGTGTGCTTTTAGATTTATATTTGGTGTTACAGACGAGTGTTTCTGAAACAATTCTTGAATATTAAACTTCATTTTAGTACCCACCCATGCTTACTGATCACATATACATCAGTGTACATCACACATAAATCATATGCACAGCACACATTGGCTACATGAGCACCACATCCTGATCACTTGCACCTGTCAACAGGTATACATCACATCTGATCAGTGTACACCATATATTGATCATGTGTCAATCACTGTTAATCGCCATTGATTGACTATATGCTATATGAAGATATGTATGTCACATGCATGTGCAAGATGCAGAACATGTGTTCATCACATATTGGTCCCTTATGGGTCACAGCACATCCCACGTTGATTATTTGTACACTGTATCTGAATGCAAGGACTTAGCCTTCTTCCTCGGGCGTGGGAGTGTCTAGGGTTGGCAGAGGACAATACTGTAAAAAGCCAGAAACTCTAGTAACCCAATCGCTGCCATTGTCACATAAATCCAAGTCAGTGGGTTCACCGGAGGACAGGAGATTCTTTTCCATTCAGGCACAGGGAGAAAGGGCAAACAGGAGATTAACTGTCTTGGAGAGGGGAGGTTCCTGGACAAAAAATGATCTGCCATGCACTCTGTCCGTCTCAGGCTCGAAATGAACTTTGGAGCAGAAATAGTCCAGGCTTGGTGATCTGTCGAGGTAATCCGCCCTGGCTCTGAAACTTGATCTGCTCTGGGACAATTACCCTACAGCAGTCTGGTTCTAGAGGCGCTTATTTCCCCACCGCCTTCAGCCCCTTCTCCTCCCCCGAATAAAAAGCAAATCAAAGAACATGAAGCACCCTGGGGAGATTAGCACCTGTTCGCCCAGCCCTGGGTCCGGAATTGGTCTACTCCAGAGCTCTCCACTGGTCTTGTAAACTTGCCTGCAAACTTATCTGGACTCACAGCTTCCTCCTCCCTCCCTCCCTCCCAGGCTCTCCGGTCACGTGACGAGGGCGCTCCAATGACGGGAGGCGCTTGGAGGGGCCCCGGTGGCCCTAGCGGCGGCCGCTGCCGAGGCCGGGAAGTGAGCTCGGAGAGAGGCCAGAGTGGACCATGGTGGTGACAGCACCCGCGCCGGCAGCCGCTGCTGCTGCAGTGGAGGCGGCGGCGGCAGCACCGGCGGCCGAGGAAGAGCTGGGGGCCCACGCCGCTCGGGCCCGCTGCCCCCCGGGCGCGCTGTGAGCCCCCCACTCTCACTGCCTGCCCCTCACCAGCCTTCCCATCCCCTCCACGCCTCCTGCCTCCCTAGTCTCCCTCAGCTCGCCGCCGGGCTCCCCCGCAGCGGCAGCGGAGGCTGCAGTAGCCAACTCTTCCAGTGGGGCGGCGGGAAGGCCAAGCAAGAGAGGCCCAGGGGGACGATGCGCCTGCCGGGCGGCTGATCCCGGTGTTCCCTCTCTCTTCCCGCCGTCCTCCTCGTAGTTCTCGTCCTCTCTTTCCCTTCACCCCCACCATGGCCTTCCCGGGTGCCGAGGGAGCGGCCGATGGGCCTGCCGGCTCTGGCAGGGAGGCGCCCGCGGCGGGCGCGGGCGGCTCGTCCTCGTCTTCCTCCGCCTCCTCCTGCTGCTCGTCCTCGTCCTGGGTGGCCGGGGGCGGCCGGCTGTGGGCCGCCCTCTACGACTACGAGGCGAGCGGCGAGGACGAGCTGAGCCTGCGACGGGGCCAGCTGGTGGAGGTGCTCTCGCAGGACGCCGCTGTGTCGGGTGACGAGGGCTGGTGGACGGGCCAGGTGCAGCGGCGCCTCGGCATCTTCCCCGCCAACTACGTGGCTCCCTGCTACCCGCCGCGGCCGCCCGAGCCAGCCCGCCCGCGGCCCCGCCAGCCCCCGCCGCCGCCGCCGCCGCCCTCCCCTCCCGACGCCCCGCGGCCCGGCTCCCCGATGCAGATCGAGTTCGAGTGGCTGGAGCTGAAGGAGCTGATCGGAGCCGGCGGCTTCGGGCAGGTGTACCGGGCCACCTGGGGCGGCCAAGAGGTGGCGGTGAAGGCGGCGCGGCGGGACCCCGAGCAGGACCCCGCGGCGGCTGCCGAGAGCGTGCTTCGGGAGGCCAAGCTCTTCTCCATGCTGCGGCACCCCAACATCATCCAGCTGCTCGGCGTCTGCCTGCAGCAGCCCAACCTCTGCCTCGTCCTCGAGTTCGCCCGCGGAGGGGCCCTCAACCGGGCCTTGGCCGCCGCTGCAGCCGCCGCCGCGACCAACGCTGCCGTCCCCTCCTCCTCCTCCCAGCCGCCGGCGACCGCCGCGGGGACCCCCCCGAGCCTGCGGGCGCCGCGCCCGGGCCGCGACCCGCCCGGCGCATCCCTCCGCACATCCTGGTCAATTGGGCAGTGCAGATCGCTCGCGGGATGCTCTACCTGCACGAGGAGGCCATCGTGCCCATCCTGCACCGGGACCTTAAGTCCAGCAACAGTAAGTGGTGGTGGGGTTGGGCGGAGGGCATTCCAGGGCGAGAAGGTCACTGGGGACATCTCAGGGTCAGCAGGCCTGGGAGTTGTTACTTCTGGAATTGAGGGGTCTCCTTGCTTAAGTTGCTTGGGGTCAACCAGCCTGGGAGTTGCTACTGCTGGAACTGAGGGATCTGCTTAACTTAGGAACTTAAACCTGGATATTAAGGCGTCTGTTTACTACCTAAATTGCTTTGGGTCCACACATCCTGGGAATTGCTATTCCTGGAATTGAGGTGCTAGCTAACCTGAAAACACCTTGAATCCTTCCAGCTTCTTGTATTTCTTGGGGCCCTAGTAAACAGATTTGGAACATGCAATACACTTTCTTTGACCTAGCTCAATGGTTCTGGGGTCCTAGAGCTCCTCACTTGCAGCCGCTACATAGAATCCAAGCCAGGGGGTTCACAGTGGGGCAGGAGATCCTTTTCCATTCAAGTACAGGGAGAAACAGCAACCACGAAACAAGGGGGTTTCGTTGGGATGGGTCCTTGACTTTCAAGGCCCTCTCCAGATGTTAGTGAATCGTAGAACACGTGTAAAGATGGGGATTGACTTTGTCACTCTTCTCCTCCATCCTACCTGTGAGACCCCTTGACCAGTTTTGGTTGTACTTCTTGATAGTTATTTTTTTTCTTCCCATTTTGAAGATGATTTCACAAGTGGAGGCATTATTAGTTCTCTAGCTCAGGAGTGTTCTTGGTACTGGTAGATAAACTTTTTTGAGAGCTAGTTCTGTGCATGGTGCACTCTTCATGGAAAGGATAACAACTGGAGGCATTATTAGTGCTTTAACTCTGGAATGTTCTTGGTACCAGTGGATTTTTTGAGAACTTTTTTTGAGAGCTATTTCTGTGCATGGGCATTTTAATGTCCTAAAGATTTGATTTGTATAATGAAGTTTAGTTATTTATAAGTTATATTTTCCAGGCCTGTCAGTAAAGGATGGGGAAAAAACCTAAATACAAATCTTATTAGGGAATCATTGGGTAGAAAAAAGAAATGCTACTTGAAGTTTTTTCTTTAATGGTTAAAAGTTTCATCTTTATTTTAAGAATCTGGAATTAAGCAATCTCGTTAAAGATTTATCAGGACTTAACACAAAACTAGCTCTAGCCTATCACAGCTTCATGCCTCACAACACTGGAAGACTTGCTAGAACAAGTGCTAACTCAAACTGGAACTTGTCCTTTTCTCAGTTTGTTGGAAGACAAATGACAGGGCTGTGTGTATGTATCCATATCACATCCATCCACACACACACACACACATACATGTATGCACACTTTTTTTGGTTTAAAGTTTTATACTGAAAACTGAATTGTTGGGATGTCTTTGCGAATGACTGGCTTAGTCATCATTGGAGCTAGATTTGACCTTTGAAAGCTGGTTTTATTACCAGAAGTTAATACTGTGTTTATTAACTTTTTTATTTCAAGAGATGATTACTAAAAATTGGCTGTTACTCCTTTGGTCCAGTCTCTCATGCAGACATCCTCAAATCATAGAATCAGAACATCATAGTAGGAAGGGACCTTAGAGGCCATGTAATTCAGTTCCCCTCTCTGTTTACAAATGAGTTACCAGGGGTTCAGAGAGGTTAAGGGACTTGTCCTTAGTCACTTTTTTTTTTTTTGCTTTTAGGCAGTTGGGGTTAAGTGACTTGCCCAGGGTCACACAGCTAGGAAATGTCAAGTGTTTGGTCTGAGGCCGGATTTGAACTCAGGTCCTCCTGACTTCAGGGCCAGTGCTGGATCCACTGCACCACCTAGCTGCCCCCTTAGTCACTTTCTGAAGTAGAATTTGAACCCAAGTCTTCCTGAACCAAATCTAGCACTTGAACCATAACACCTACTCACTTTCCTCAAGCTGAGGTGGTATTATGAATTTGGGTTCCTGATTAAGTACCACATAAAGGATACTAGCATTATTCATGAAATATGTGTGTGTGAAAGATAAACACATATGCACATGCATGTATGTATGTAGTAAAGAAACCAGCCATACAAATTTCACCATACATTCCATCAGTTAGCATCTATTAAGTGCCTACTATGTGACAAATACTTTTTGAAGCACTGAGGATAATTTGTAGGGGAAGGCACTCACATTAAGGCCTGGGAAAGGCTTCTTGCTTAAGGTTCAGCTTTAACTGAAACTTGAAGGAAACCAGGAAAACTAGAAGATAAGAAGAGAGGGCTCTCCAGGCATGGGGAATACTCAGCCAGTGAAAATGCTCATCATTGGGAGATGGAGTGTCAAGTAGGAAGAAAAGCAAGGAGGCCCTTGAACAGAGTTCACCGAAGGGAGTAAAGAATAAGAAAACTGGAAAGGAAGGAAGGGGCTAGGATATGAAGGGCTTTGAAAGCTAGAGGACTTTATATTTGATTCTGGAGGTACTGGCGAGCCCTCGGAGTTTATTAACTGGGGGTGTGAATTTTAGGAAGATCAGTTTGAAAGCTAAGTGGAAGATGGATTGGAGTGGGGAAAGACTTGAGGTAGGATGACCTACCGGAAGACTAGTTCAACAGCCCAGGGATGAAGTGATGAGGATCTTCACCAGGATTGTGGCAGTGTCAGAGGAGAGAAGAAGGTATAGAGGAGAGATGTTACGAAGATAAAATTGACAGGCCTTGGCAACAGATTAGATGTAGAGGGTGAGCAACTGAGGAGTCGAGGATGACAACCAGGTTGTGAGCCTGGGTGACTGGGAAGATTGTAGTATCCTTGACAATAATGAGGAAGTTAAGAAGAGTGGAAAGTTTTGGTAAAAGGGAAAAAAGTTCATTTTTTAAGATGTCTATGGAACATACAATTTGAGCTGTCTGGTGGCCAGTTGGAGATTCAAGGCCTGAGGTCAGGGAGGAATGAGTAGATTTGAGCATCATCCGCATAAAAATGATGATTGAAACCATAGGTACTGATAAGAAGACTAAGTGAAATAGGATAGCAGGAAAAGAAAAGAAGAGAGAGCCTTGGGGGGACTCCAGTGTTTAGGGTAGTGATATGGATGAAAATCCATTAAAGAAAACTGAGAAGGAGCTGTCCAATAGGTAGGAGGAAAGACAGGAATTATTAGCAGTGTCTTAAAAGAGAAGAGACCATCAAGAAGAGGTTAATTGTCAGTGTCACAGGCTAGTCAAGAAAGATTAGGTTTGAGGCCATTGTATAATTAGTAATTTTGGAGAGAGCCGTTTGGGTTTAATGATGAAGTCAGAAACCAGATTGCAAAGAGTTAAGAGAGGGAGAAGAATGGAAGTGAAGGACTTTCTCAAGTGGTTTACCCATAAAAGAGAAGAAAGTTATGGGATGATAGCTAGTGGGGATGGAAGCTTCAAGTAAGTTTTTTGAGGATAAGGGAGACATGGACATGTTTGAAGGCAGTAGGGAAGAGACAACAGACTGGGAGCAACTGAAGATTAGTGAGAGAGTAGGGATGATATAGGAGCAATCTTCTGGAGAAGACAGGATGGAATGGGATTATTTGTGCATGTAGCAGGGTTTGTCTTCAAAAAAGGAGAAGGGCTACCTCTGTATGTGAAATGTATATAGGAAATAGTGGCACAAAACATCTGAGTGATATGAGATGAGGAACAGGGGAGAAGAGGGAACTCTCAGCTAATGTCCTCAGTTTTTTCAATGAAATATGAGGCAAGGTTCCCAGTTAGGAGGGAGAACTGCTTGAAATTTGAGGAGGGTTGAGAGGGGAGTACTTCTACCACCTGGAATAGGGGTGAGACTTGTGCTTTAGGGAAATCACTTTGGTGGTTGAATGGTTGGAGCAGTGAGAAACTTGAAGCAGGGAGACCTTATCAGCAGGCTGTTGCAGTAGTCTAGGTATGAGGTAATGAGGGCCTGTACCAAAGTGGTGGCAGTGTCAGAGGAAAGAAGAGGACATGTTTGAGAGATTTTGCAAAGGTGAAATTGACAGACCTTAGCAACAGATCCGATATGGGGAGAGATAATGAGGAGTTGAGGATGACATCTAGGTTTCAGGTCTAAAAGATGGGAGGATGGTGCTGCCCTCCACAGTAATAGGGAAGTTGGGAAGGGCGTGGAGTGGTTAGGGTGAATAATCAGTTCAGATTTGCGTTAAGGACTTAATAGAATCTGGGGTAAAGTCAGTAGAATCACACAAAGTACTTTAGAGGGCATCTAATCCAACTCATAAGTGAATAAGGGTGTCCATCAACAACATACTCAACACTTAGAACAGTGCGTTGCACATTAAATGCTTTTTGATTCATTCCTTTATTCATCCAAAAGTGGTTACCTATTGATTACTTGAAAACCTATAGTGAACAGGAAATCACTATGTACTAATGTAGACCGTTTTGTTTTTATAGTTTTCATTGTTAGGAAGTTATCATTCCATCAAGTCTCAATCTGCCATTTTATAACTTTGGTCCTTTTTCCCTAATTCTGGCCTATGAAGCCAAATAGAACAGATTTAACTATTCTTCTACCTGATAACCCCCCTCCCCCAACTATTTGGACATGGTTTGTGATGTCTTTCCTTTCCACTTAAATTTTCTGTTCTCTACGTCTTTTTACAGAGCTACATAAATCGTGATCTTAAGGTATTTCACCAATTTGTTGTTCTTTGCTGCACATTCTAGGTTATCAGATCTCTTCCTAAAATGTGGTACCCAGATTTTGGTGCATTTGTTGTGTAACATAAAATAGTTGTGAAATTACTTTCAATTGTAAGTTTATAGTTTACAACATAGTATTTTAAAAATTAGTATAAAACAAGGGCAGCTAGGTGGCGCAGTGGATAGAGCACCAGCCCTGGATTCTGGAGGACCTGAGTTCAAATATGGCCTCAGACACATAACACTTACTAGCTGTGTGACTCTGGGCAAGTCACTTAACCCCATTGCCTAAACAAACAAACAAAATTAATATAAAACAGTCAAACATTTATTAAGCACCTACTATGTTCTAGGAGTGTGCTAGGCTCTAAAGACAAAAATGGAACAGTAGTTGCCCTCAAGTACATTCTATGTGGTAAGGCACTAAGTCTAAATGTATGTATATACACAAAGTAGATGTTAATTTTGTGGGAGAGGGCACTACTAGGTGGGAGAGGAATCAGGAAAGGTTTCATGTAGAAAGTGGTGCTTGAGTTGGGTTTTGAAAGAAATGGCATTTCTAAGAGGAATAGGTCATGTGGGAGTGCACTCAAAGCATGAGTTCAGCTAGGAATGGCGATAGGAGGAGTGTTGTATGAAAGGAACAAAAAGGCCAGTTTGGCGGACCATAGAGAGGGAGAGTAATGTTTAACAAGATTGGAAAGACAGGTTGAGTCCAAGTTGTGAAGGACTATAAATAACAAATGAATTTATATTTGAACCTAAAAATAATGGAAACCTCTGGAGTTTATTAAGTTAGGGGAGTGACTTGATTAGTGCTGAGCTATAGGAAAATCATTTTAGTAGCCTTGTGGAGAATGAATTGGAGTGAAGGAGAGAGACTCGAGGCAGGAGATAAATTTGGAGGCAGTAGTCAGGAGGGCCTGACTTGGGATGGGCCAAGTGAGTAGAGAATGGAACAGATGTGAGAAGTTGTAGCTGTGTGGAAGAAGGAGTCAGGAATAACACCCAGGTTTCGAACATGTGAAATAGAGGAGTTAGGTTAGACAAGTGGGTTTTGAAGGAAAGATAATGAGTTTTCTGTTTTACGTTTGAGTTGTCTGTGGGACATCCATTTTGAAATATGCAATTGGCAGTAGTGTATAACTGGAATTCAGGAGAGAGACTAGGAGTAAAAGTTTAAAAAAATTATTGGTTTTTATTTCTCCAAAGTTAGGTGATTCTTTTATTCTCTGATTTGCCAGTAGTGTTCTACTTATTTTCTTTCATGGGCCCCACCTTTTGGCCAGTAGCATACAGTTTTGAAACATTTAGTAAATAAATATTTATTAGGTGATCCCTCTACCAAGTGATGGGGATATGAAAAAAGGGAGAAGATAATTCCTGATCCCAAGGAGCTCACAATCCAATGGAGAGACAATATACAAACAAGTTAGACAGAATATAAATTGGAAAAAATAAACAGAAGGAAGGAAGTAGAATTAAGGGGGTCAGGGAAAACTTCCTGTAAAACAGGGTCCTTTAAATAGGATAAAACTTTATTTACAAGTGTAAAAACCATGATTAGCTACAGGCAGGATAGAAGGGATTTCGTTAATAGGCCTTAGTTTGTAAACCCTGCTGTAGAAGGTGAGATTTTAGCTGGGAGTTGAAGAATACCAGAGAAGTAAGGAGGTGAAGGTGAAGAGGGAAATTCCACACATTGGGACAACCACTGAAAATACTAGGAGACAGGAAATGGAATGGTCAGACCTGAAACATTAGGAAATTAAGTGATGGATTGACTGAAATGGGGAAAGAATATGGCAGGGAGACCCATAGGCTATTGCAGTAGCTCAGGTGTGAAGTGATGAGGGCCTGCACCAGGGTGGTAGTGTGAGTGGAGCATAGTCTTTAGATGTACAGAAATATTCTATTTGAATCTGTTCTTTACCATCTCTCACTCCTAACCCTGTTTTAAGTAGTTAACCCATTCTAGAAATTATAGACACAGTCGTAGTCATAGTAATAGTGAACATTTCACTTTAAACAGCTGGTTAAAAACTGTAGGTCATTTGGGCTTTGAAGAATTTTGCTAGGTGAGTGTTTGGGAAGGGGAGGGGGAACAGAACATTTCAAAGCATAGGAAGGAACACAGAGTCTTGAATAGGAAACTGAAGTTGTGTTTGGGCCACATCAAGGTAAACCAAAGTAGCATTTCCTTAGAGCAGATGAAAAACTGTAACCTGGAAGACAGGTGAGGGGTGAGGGAAGGGATTCAGAACTAGCAGACCAATAGGACCCAAAGATGGATGACTAATGGTGGTCTGTTGGGAGCTTTCTATTAATATGTCTCAGGGCTCTGTCTTTGGCCCTGTTCTGTTTAGTGTTTTTTATCAATGACATGGCTAAATATATGATGTTTATGTAGTACTTTAAAATTTTGGAAGTGCTTTACTTGTACTATCTCATATGATTCTTGCAACAAACTCATGAAGTAGATATGGAATAGGTATAAGTATCTCCATTTTGACAATGAGGGGGAGGGAAGTTGAGATATCAGAGGGGGTTAAATGGCCCATCTCTTAGTTTAATAAACTAAATAGCATGCTTATCCTACTTTCAGATAATAGGAGCCATGGAAGAATTGGTATTGGAAAACATCTAAACAGACTAAAAGGAGATAGTAAATCAGATGTTTATTTTTGGGGGGTGGGGTGGGAGAATAGGATCTGGATTTATGGCTTCTGTGTAGATTTAATCTGATGGGGAAAACTCTCTCCGCTGATGAAGATTAGCTCATAGTCTTAAAGAATTAATTGCCTGGGAATAACTGAGAGATAGGTACATGGTCAGTATATATCAAATGCAGGATTTAAGTTCATGAATTCCTGATTCCAAGGCTAGCAGTCTATTGACCAATCAACTCAAGAGGATATATCAACCATCTTCTCAAGATGAAATTTAATAGGGGTAAATTTAAAGTCTTACGTGACAGTATCTTGGAGTTGTTAGAACTAGTGTCCTGTGGCAACCAGAAAAGCTAGCCAGGTGCTCAGGTACCTTAATAGAAGAATCATGTCCAAAACAAGGGAGATGCTAGTTCCAATGTATTCTCCCCTAGTCAGACCACATAAGAAGCCCATTTCTGGGTGCCACATTTTAAGGAGGATTGATTAACCTTGAGGACCTCTAGGGGAGAATAATCAGGTTGGTGAAAGGACTTACAGCCGTGCCATATGAGCATTGTGAAGTAAAGGTGAGAAGAGATTTTTGGTGGGAGAGGAGAAGAAAGTCATTATTTCTTATGTTAAAATTTTTGAAGTTTGCATGTAGAAACAAAAGCTAGACTTATTCTTCTTGGCCCTAGAGAATGAAAATAGAATTGATAGGTGAAAGTTTAGAGAAGTTGATTTGATTTAGGGAAAGAGCCTGCTCTAAATCCATGATCATATGAAATGAGCTACCTCAGGAGGGAATGAGGCAGTTGTCACTGGAAGTCTTAAGGCAGAGGCTGGACATCCATATCCACTTGACCAAAGTATACTATAAAAGTGAGCTAGATGGTCTTCCAGATCTCCTTTGAAACCTCAAGATTTTGTGATTCATTTTAGGTTCTTTACCTTTTCTCCCTCTTACTCCTTCTCTGACCTCTGTAGTACCTAGGGAGAAGGTAAAGGTAGGTATGTGAATAAAAAGAAGTGTGAAATTCAAATCCTTGCTGAATCACTAATCTTTACAAATAGAAAAACTCTTCTTTGGGTGTTTCCCCACATCCCTATTATGAAGAGACTATGAAGGGTTTTTGTTGTTGTTTGTTTTTGTTTTATAATTTACTGAAGAATTGTTTTTATATGGTACAGAAATAAGAAAGAACTTTCTTTTTGTTCAATATTGAAACTTGTTTCCTTTAAGCCTTAGTTTAGTGAAAAACATAATACTAGTAGCCCTTTCAAATATAGTCTTCCTCTTATCGTGTATACACTTAACCTGCCACCACCCCTACTCTGCAGTCTCCTTATAAAAGAACTGCTTTTGATTAAGGATCATAGCTTCGGTTGATTCTGTCCAGCCAGGATTGTTAGCAACACAGTCTTGTGCTTTGTTCTCTGCATGGCTGCTGGGATCTGTGTGCTTTGGCAGGTTTACTTTTAACTCTGGACTGATAAGTTGGGGGGAAGGGGCATACATTCTAAATTGCTTTGGTAACTGTTTTGCTGCTGCAGTTTATTTTTAGATGTGCTTTGGAAAAAAGGTTATTGGTAAAAGACCTCATTTACTGATTTTTTTAAAATTTAGTTTCTATTCTTAATAATTTAAGTTGTTATAGCTCACTTCTTCCAAGGATTTTGCTTGATCATCAGGCTAAACATTGTGTTAAAACTTTCTACCTCATTATTGATCTGTTGGGTAGAGAATTGTAGAAGAGTTTCTTCATACTTGTACTTTAATGTGTGAATCTTAAAATACTGAATTGTCTTAGGAAGCAGATCTGGACTTCATATAGAGAGCCTTTATCATGAAGAATAAGCAATACAAATACCTAACTTATTTCTATAATTCTTTATATTCAGTTTAAGCCCACATATGTCACTACTTCTGCTTTTCATTTCCAGAAGCTTTTCCTCTTGCATGAAATTAAAGTAACATTTTAAATAAATATACAGTTGTAATACCCCTGTTCTCTGTAAGCTTTTCAATCTCCTATTTGTTCATTTATTTCACAAATATTTGCTAAGCACTGAATATACATATTCATGGCATGTGAATAAGATGTGTATGGCATATATAATATGTAATATATGGTATATGGCATATATTGCATGTTTTATACATTGCCAGATATATTACATAAGACACATATGATATAGTATATATATTATATAATATATACATATTATGTATAATATGTACATACTAGAATATGTATATGTGGCACAATATGTTACCTTTATATGATGATATACATACATCTGTGTGATATATGACATATATAGTGTGTATGTGTATACCTTTAAGTGAATACATATATGGCATTGTTAGGTGCTGCATGGAATACAGAGTTATAGAAAGATCTGATCCCTGCCCTCAAGCCTCTGTATCATAGTAGAGAAGAAACTTGTACCCAAGTATCTAAGATAATAGGCAGTATGTGATAAATACTGTATGAGTGGTGAAAACTAAGTTTTACAGACAGCTAGGTGGTGCACTGCGTAGAGCCCAGGACTTGGAGGTAGAAGACTGGAATTCAAAGCTGTGATCCTAGGCTAGTCACTTATCTTCTGTCTGCCTTAGTTTCCTCAACTATAAAATAATGGTTGAAATGTGAGTAGTCAGGAAAGAACAGAAAGCATACATTCAGTATCATTGGATAAAATTAGAAAATTTAAGTCCTCTATGTATGGAGAAGTGGTATAATCTTTGGGTCATATGGTTCATTTTAGAAGTCTAGATAGTACTGGAACAAGGATGATCTTGGTGAATATTTTATCCTTGTGTATTGCTGTTGCCTTTCTTCAAATTGTTGTTCTGCATTTTTCTTCTAAGATTTTTAGATAAGATTATGCTAGTTAATTATTAATTTATATCAAACCAATTTTATCTTCTTAATGAAAAAAATAGATGTTAATAAAGCAATCTGTGATAAGTTTAAATCTTTTTATGTAGCATTATGTAGCTACTGCAAATTATTTGGCTTCTTTTACATTTCCAAACTTCCAAAAGACTAAAAACACTTAGTAACCAGTGATTGAATAAATAGGCTAAGTACAAGGTTGTAAAGGCCAATTGTTAAAGAATGAAACTAATGAGGGTTAAAAATCTTAGCAGAAGTCAGCCCAAAAGGATGGTCAAGCAGGAGTTGCTAGGTTACTAACTCAGAAGAATTTCCCAATACTGTGAGCAACAAACTCATTTGATTAGTTTGTACGGTATAGTTTTGGTGGGTAACTAATGTTCTGTCATTCTTCCTGATTTAATGACAGGAAGTGGAAATTTGCTGTAACCTTATGTCCTTTCAGAGATTGAAACCTGGAAGGGTGCCCAAAAATTACCTGTTGTAAGGCTGGCTATTTTTTGGTTTCAGTCACATGACCCAAAAGATAAGGAATGTCAGGAATTTTCAACACATTTACAATGGAATCCAAAACAATAGGCCTTTCATACTATTCTAAAGGCATAACTTTCATTTGTTATTTTAACTTTTCAGAGGAACAGGGTTAGTATAAAGTATTGAAGCCCAGCCTGTATGGAAACTTTCTATCTGGGAGGAAAAAAGGTATATTTTAAAACAATGGATCATTCAAGGATGTTTAAAAAACACATTTGCTTCTGCTTTGCTTCTGTGTGCTCTTCTAACAATTTTTGCTCAGGAATAAAATTTGCTTTTAATGTTCAAGTATCAGTGCTTCTCAGTTTTTTGCTTGTCTTCTTTCCAGTCCCCTAATTCTTCCATGGTTTTTATGCTATTTAATATTGCCACGTCTATTCCATGGGAGGTTCGGGAAGTAATACTGCAGAGATTGAAGTAATGCAAAATCTTCGTTGGATTTTGGGGTAAGGGGATAATGCAACATTTAAGAGATCGTTGGTTCAAGATCCTCGTTTTATAAATGAGCAAACTGATACTCAGGTTAAATGACTTGACCAGCACCACACAGGTAGTTTTTATGTTCTCTGACCCCAAATCCAATGTGCTTTCAATTATACTATATTAGTTTTAGTGCCTTATTTGATAATATTATCCTTTATCTCACCATGTTTTTGTACTGGCTGTCCCTCATTGCTGGAATGAATGTTCTTCTTCCTCACTTTTACCTCCTAGCTTCCCTGGCTTCTTTCAACACTCAGCTCACATCTGATCTTCTACACCCTTTCTTTTACACTGTGTCATGAATATGCATAGGTTTTTGCACATTTGCTGTTGTTCAGTCATTGCAGTTGTGTCTGACTCTTTATGACCCTCTGGGGTTTTCTTGGCAAAGATGCTGGAGTGGTTTGCCATTCTCCAGCTCAGTTTACAGATGAGGAACTGAGGCAGACAGGATTAAATGACTTGCCCCAGGGCTATACAGCTAGTAAGTATCAGAGGCTGGATTTGAATTCAGGTCTTCCTGGCTCCAGGTCTGGTGCTCTATCCAGTGCTCCACCAAACTAGCCCTGTTTGCACATTGTCTCCTCCATTAGGATGTGAGCTCTTTGTGGGCAGGAACTGTTTTTTAACCTTTCTTTATCTCCTCACTGATTAGCTTTGTACCTGGCACTTAATCAGTACTTAAGACATGCCTGTTGACTGAGAATTAAATGAGGTAATGTTTGGAAAATGTAGAGTTCTGTGTAAACAACAAGCTATGAGTTTGGATTTAGTTTTGTTTGGTGGGGAAAGATGCTTATTAAAGAGTAAGATTGCACCTTGGATGCCAGGTTGTAGTTGTCTGTCCTTCATTCTCGAAGAGGACCATGGCACCAGGAAGGTGATGCCATGATGTGCAATGGGTAGGCCTGGACAAGGGAGGGTAGATTGTCAAGATTCAGCAATACTCGATCAGCCTCACTTGAATGGAGTGTTTGTGTTATGGGAATAGTAGGAGATGAAGTTGGAAAGGCTGAAGGAATGAATGTAAGAGACGTTTTTGAGGAGCTGATAGAACTAGGTGGCTGGGTAGGAGGAAGCAAGGGAATAAATAGTTAAGACTATTTTCATATCTTAATAACTGGTAAGAATTATATCATTAGTAAGAATGGGAAAGTGAGAGAGGGCTGGTTTCAGGGGTAAAATGATTTCAATTTTAGACCTGTTTAGGTTAAGGTGATGGTGATGTATGTAAGTGGAAATATTTGGTAGAGATATGTTGGAGACATGAGCCTAAAACTTGGAGAGAGAGAGGTTAGGGTTGTCTACCTAAACTTCAGAGTCATTTACAGAGCCAGTAGTTTAAAACCACAAGAAGTGAGGTCTCTGACCAAATGAATGAGAGAGAGAAAAGCAATTGACAGAGGCTTGAGGCTTTAGGAATGTCTAGATTCATAGGTAAGGAGGAAATGCTGCCGAGGAGACGAGATAGTCAGAGAGAATTATTTCTCTATTAATAATTCCATGTAGTCTAATGTCACAAAAGGTAAGTATAAGGAATTTCATAAAGGTAAAGGAACAGTGTCAAGATGCAAAGAGCAGTTACAGTACCAACTGAGATAAAGACCTTTTGACTTAGTGAGTGAGAATTTAATAAGAATGATGGTAAGAGGACATTGATTGTGAAAATTTCATAAGTGAGTAGGTGTTGAAGAAAGGGGGGAGAACATGTAGTTCACTCATTTGAGATGCTGGCAATGAAAGCATCTTCTCCTTCAACTACATTCCCATTACTTCCTCCTTTTACATTCCCGTTACTTTCCTCCTCAGACTTTTTCCATAACCTCCTATCTAGTCTTTCTTCTTCTATTCCAATCTTGTTCTTTAGGAAAAAAAAAAAAGAACTATTAAGGTAGATCATTATCAACAGGTCATTTCTGTCCTTACCCTGCCTCCAACATAACAAAGTGCACAAGAATAAGCTCTGTGGGCATATGTATGGTTTAGAAGATAGATTTTCAAAAGAGAATTTGTCTATTTCCATTCTCAAAGGATGTGGTCATATCTTCCCATGTTGCTCCCCTTTATGCACGCTAAATTCCAGCCACATTGGCCTACTTGTTCCTTGAATTTGACATTCCATTTTCTCCCTCCATGCCATCTCATAGCCTGTTGCCCATGCCTGGATAGCACTCTTTCTCACCTCTAACTTTAAGAATCCTTGGTCTACTTCCAACTCAGAACCTTTATTAGTTCCCAGATTTTATTTGTTAGTACTCACTCCTTCCTCAAATTATCTTGTAATTTATTCATCCCTCCCAATAGAATGTGAGGTCCATGGGGCAGGAACTGTTCTTTTTTTTTTTTTTAACTTTTGTCTTTGTATCTCTGGTGTTTAATATTTGTTTGTTTTAATTGTTGAGTTGAGTTTAATGTCAGTCCATTGCTTACCGACTCTTCCTTAATTTCCCGTTGCAAACTGAGTAAAGTTAATACCTGTTTGTCTGTGATTCATGATTTCTGGTCCACTCCAACTTTGTAGTCTTATTACTTACTACATACTACTTTTATCTGTGCATTCTTTGCTTGACCTAAACTAGACATTTCTTGTCTCCTGAATAAATCTTATTTTTTCCTTCATCCATCCCTTTATTTGTGTTGTTCCCTCAGTCTGGAATGCTATCCTTTTCTCTTTTTTACCCATTGAAGCTCTTCTCATCCTTTAAAGCCCAAATCAAATGGTTGTTGTGGTGGTACTTGTAGCTCTTGTCACTTTGGCAGCAGGGTAAAAGTGGGGGTAAGGGTCTGGTGTTACTGGCTTACTTTAGCGGTACATTTTTCACCAAAGTTTTACTTTTGCCATGTCTTATGCCATGGTCAAATGAAGCCACCATTTGTGGAGGTGGAATAAACAGGAGGCTTTTGAAATAATTTGGGTAGCTACTGATGAGGACTAGTACTAGATTGATGATAGCAGAAGGAGTGAAAAAGGAAGAGGATGGATATTATAAGCCTTAACAACTGATTATATGTGGAGTATGAGGGAAGAAAATTAAAGATAACACCAGTGTTTAGAACATAGATGACCAGGTAAATGGTGCTATTATTGGCAAATAGAGAAGTCTCTAAGGGTGAACAGATGGTTAAAAATGTGGTAAATTCTATATTGGTCATATTTGTAAGTACTGAGATTGTGTTTTTAAAGCTTAAGAGAAAAGTCAGGCCTAATGGTATAGATTTGATATTTTTCTGTTTAGAGATGATAGTTGAGCCCATGGGAACAAGTTGATGGCTAAGGAAGATTTAGAGAGAAAAGAAGTTTGATGTCAGAACCTTGGGTAATAATAGCATATTAAATGGTCAGCAGAAGAGTGATTAGAGAGTTAAGAAGAGAACTAAGAGGATAGTGTGTATATCTTGTGAAAAGAGAGTATACTCAGAAAAAAGGGGGATGGTTTACAGCAGTGTTAAACTCAAATAGAAACAGATTCCTGTAGGTTGCATATTGATTTAGAAAACCACAAATGAACATTATCTATGTTTTCTTATACTTTTTTTTGGGGGGGGGGAGTGAGGCAATTTGGGTTAAGTGACTTGGCCAGAGTCACACAGCTAGTGAATGTTATGTGTCTGAGGCCACATTTGAACTCAGATCCTCCTGACTCTAGGGCCGGCGCTGTATCCACTGCACCATCTAGCTGCCCCTATACTTTTAAAAATTTTATTAAACATTTCCCAATTACATTTTAATCTGGTTGAGGCTGCAGCCTGGAGTTTTGCTTGCTTATAGCCCATGGGGAGTTTAATACCTCTGGTCTACAGTATCAAAAATGGTAGAGATGTTAAGTAAATGGAATACTAAGACAAGGCTTTTGTGTTTGGCAATAAGGCAATTGTTAGAGATCTCTTAAGAGAATACATTTAGTAGAGTTGGAGGTGGGGGGAGGGTGTAAGCCAGATTATAGAATATTGTGGCATGAATATAAGCATCAAATAGAGTTTACTTTTTCAAGTCAGTTCAACAAATCTTTATTACATATATGCTGTGTTCCAGGCATTGTCCGATACAAGGATACAAAAACCGACAATGAAATGGTCCTTCCTGAAGGAGCCTACATTCACCTTGAGGAGGGAGAGGCATAATATATGCATTGATAAGTAAATAAAATATGTATATAAAATGATTGGGGAGAAGGTAGCTCTAACATCTGGGGAGATCAGGAAAGGCCTAGTGAAGAAGGTGGCACTTGAGCTGAGCTTAGAGTGGAGCTCATTATTGCCAATGGTAGCATTCCTGGCGTGGGGAACCACTTGTGTACAGGTATAGAAGTGGGAGGTGGCAGGTTATATGTGGGAAACAGCAAGCAGGCCAGTTTGATTGGAACCTAACACATGCAAAGAGAAATAATGTGAATACAGTCTAGAAAGATAGCTCTTCATAATTTGGCTCCAAAAGAGTAGTTTCTGTTTTATTTTGGAGATATAAGGGACCCATTGAAGTTTCTTTGGGAAGTGGGGATGGGGAAGGAGTGAAGTGCTCTGACCTGGTTTTTAGGAATATCAGTTTAGGAGCTGGAGGATGGATGGGGGGGGCAGGAAGAAGAGGCTAGAGGCAGGAAGGCTGATTAGAAAATGGTTGTTAGCAATAAAGGTGAAAGATGATGAGGGCTTGATCTAGGGTAGTTTGTGATGTGACTAAAGAACAGGGAATAAATATGTGTGGAGGTAAACTCAATTAAACTTGGTGATGGGAGGTGAAGAAGAAGAAAGAATCAACAATGGTTGCAAGGCTGTGGACCTAGATGACTGGAAGAATGGTGATTCCCTTGACAGAAATAAATAAATCAGTATGAGGGCTGGGATTTGGAAAAAGGAAAAAGAAGTCTGCTTTGGATATCTTCAGATGGAGATGTCCAGCAGTCAGTTGGAGATGAAGGACAGGAATCTAAGAGAGGGTTTAGGTCTGGATAAGTAGATTTGGGAGTCACCTGCATAGAGATAATTGAACTCATGAGTGCTTATGATGTAACAAAGGGCATGCTTGAGGTAACATGGACACGGATATTAAAAATCCCTAAGTATAAGGGCAAAGGTTGAGATGTTTAAAAAAAGAGAAGATAGGGCCAGAACTGAGCCCTGGAGTATACCCACATAAAGGAGTTGAAATGTGGGTAATAATCCAGCCCAGACCCTGAGAGGGAGCAGTCAGATGTATAGGAAGAAAAGCAGGAGAAAGCAATATCAAGAAAATCCAGTATTCAGGAGGAGAGTGTCAAAAGCTACAGAAAAGTCAAGAAAGATGAGGACTAAGAAATGGCCATTGGATTTAGCAGTTGAGATATCCTTTTAACCTTGGACAGAACAGTTTTAGTTGAGTAGAATAGTCAGAAGTCAGATTGTAAAGAGTTGAGAAGTGAATGGGCAGTGAAGAATTGGAGCCAATAAATAGAAAGAGCTTTTTTATAGGTTTAGTTGTGAAAAGGAGGAGAGCTATAGGATGATAACTTAAGTAGATGGCATCAAGTGAATATTTTTAAAGGGGAGAGGGATGTGGACATCTTTGTAGTAAGTAGGGAAATAGAGCCTGAAAATTAGGGAGAAGAGGTGATTGAAGAGGCAGAGTTTCACAGGAGACAGACAAGAATGGATAGGATCAAGGGCAAAAGTAGAGTGATTGACTCTCTTCCTCTAAGACTTGAGCAACGAATTGAATGAATGAAAAGAAATTTATTGAGCATTTACTACATACTAGGTTCTGTGCTAGTGCTAGGAATACAGATGCAAACATGAGACCTACATCCTGTCCTTAAGGGAGCTTACATTCTAATAATGGAAGAAAACACATAGGGGAGTGGTGGCAAAGAAGGGAGTTTTGGTACAGGAAATCATAGAGATGATGAATTGATCTGTAGAGCACTTGCTTGACTTGTAGTTTCTGGAGCAATAGTAGCACTAAATTTATTAATTACTGTTCCCAAAGCAAGAGGTGGGGAAAAATAATAAAGATGAGGAGAGAGCCCAAGTGGCAGTTGGGCTGATGACAAGTTGTTTCAAATGAATGTCGGGATGGGATGTGAAGCATGATTTAGTCTGGGACCAGCTAGATAGATGTCTAAGTTGAGTTAGCAGATGCTAATCAAGACTGCTCAGCCTCAGGGTGAGAGTTCCAAAGGTAAATGGGTTAATTCATCAGGGAATGGGGGCATGGTTACTGGAAGTCCAAATCTAGAGGACGTTATTCCAAGTGTTGAAAAGTTAAATAGCGATAGAGAAGGTAACAGGAGGGCTGAATGAGATGTGAAACATGCTTTGTTCTAAAGCCACTTAGATATAGGTTGGGCAAGTTTACATTCACTCTTTAATGCATCTCAGTCCCATGGCTGGAGAGTGGGAGTTTTGAGAACATTTGAAGTATAGAATATCTGGGTAGAAGAGGTAACTTGTGGCAGATGCCTCAATTTTCTAATAAGGCAGCAGATAACCTCTTCTGTTGAGAATAGATGCTAGGTGGATTGTGAGTCAATCAAGAATGAGTGAAAGGATCAATATGTAGCTCTTAAGGCCTAGTTAGTATTAGATAACATAAGTTTGTAGTGGATTCCATCAATGTGGTTATGTGACTTTCTCTCCTTGAGTTCAGCAACAATACCCAAATAGGTGAGAAGATAATAGAGGATGGGGATAATCTAAAGTTTAGGTTAGGAAAGGGATGGATGGAGATAAGACAAGGGGAAAGAGATTCAAGGATAGAGAATGATTTAGAGTTACATCTAGTGCCAAGATTGCTGCTGGAGGAAAGTGAGATTGGAGGATTATAAGGCTGGGTCAGAGATGTAGATTGGGAAAGCAGGCAGAGATAAAGTGAATATAATTTGTATTGAGGAGATAATTTTAGAAGGGGGTGAGGTACAAGGAGAGGTGGAATAATAGGAGGTTGTAATCAGATACAGGAATTTCAGTTTGGAATCATGGAAGAAATCAAAGGTATTGCCATCCCTGTGTATAGCTAAGTTGGAGTAAAAGTATAAATTATAGCAGTTAGGAGTAGAGGAATCTGAAGAACTGAGAAGCTACTGTGCTCGAGGTGACATGGACATGGATATTGAAATAAATATAAGGGCAAAGGTTGAGATGTTTAAAAATAATAGCAACCTGGGTAAACTTTTTGAAAAAGAAATGAAATGACCTGAGTGCATAGATGCATAGATAACAGCCACAAGCATTTTTGTTGCCTTTGATCCTGAGCAGTAGGGTGCATGAGATCTAGAAAGCCAGAGGGCAGAATGGGGTCACAGTACTGGTAGACTTTATGGCAGTAGTTTTTGGAGGGGAAGGAAAGAGAACCTAGGAATGGGGTGATGGTGTGCTAGAATTTTTAGTTATAATTGAAGAAGACAATTGAATGACACCCCACTTGTGACTCATAGTAGTATCCATCCTCCAGGCCTGGTGGACTGTTTTGTGTTAGGTTGCTCAGGGCATCATCATTAGCTTGTTCTAGGATATTATGGGGGAAGGGTACCCAGAGGATGTTTGTCTTTGAAAGGAAGAGTAGAAATGAAGTAGATAGTAGCTTCCTGAGGTAGAGTAACCAAGGAAGAATTTTTTGTTTTAAGGATTTGTGAAACCTAAGCAAATGCAAAGTAGCCAATAGAGAGGGAGATTTAAAATGTCATAGCATTTAGCAATTTTATTGGCATATTGAAATCTCACCATTTGTGTGCTCTTTGCAGTTTTACTACTTGAGAAGATAGAGCATGATGATATCTGCAATAAAACATTGAAGATTACAGATTTTGGTCTGGCTAGGGAATGGCATAGAACAACTAAAATGAGTGCAGCTGGTACATATGCATGGATGGCACCCGAAGTTATCAAGTCATCCTTGTTTTCTAAAGGAAGTGATATCTGGAGGTAAGTACGCATATACATTTGGCTTTTACAGACAGCTCTGTGGAAGTTAGTTATTGTGTTCTATGAAAGGAAAATGTTAATGTATCCAGTAGCTCTGATAACACACACACACAAAATTCTTTTCCAGGAATGTTTTCTGTTTATGATGTCTCCATGTAAACTTTTAAGCCAATTTAAAAATAGACCAGAGTAAATAACTTGAGATTTTTATTTTCAGAAAATCTCTACTTGTTGGTTCAGTGTTATTGTATAGTGCATGTAGTGTTTTTCCAAATTTCAGGTTTGCTTATGATGGATGAGACTTTTTCTTGAGTGGCTCTTCAAGTGCAAGTTTCCAGACTGAATTCAGTTTAGTTCATTAAATTCAAATAAATAAGAGCAAAACTCTGTGTTGAGGAAGATGCAAAATTTAGATGAAACATCCATACTTTATGGGGAAATTTGATATTTACAAATAACTACAACACCTATATACCCTAAATAAGTCGAATTTTCTGAGAAATCTAAGGAGGAAGGCCATTATTGACTAGGGGAATCAGTTAAGTTTTTCTCAAAGGCATTATCTTTGAATTAATCTTGAACCCTTTGTTTTCATAAACACCATTTAGAAATATTTGTGTGATCAAAAAGCACAAAGATGAGCAAGTATGTAGTATATGGGATTGGGGCAAAAAGTCTATTTAGCCAGAAAATAGAGTATATGGAAAGGAGTACATGCTACTCATACTGTAGCATACTGTAAAGCTTATATGGTAGGATGGTGCCATGTATACGAGAGCCTTAAATGTCAGGCAAGGCAAATTGACTATGACTTGCGAGGCAACAGAAGGAACCACTGAAGACTTTTAAGCATAGAGGAATAAATGAATGAATTAAGCATTTATTAAGCACTTATGTGCAAAGTACGTGGATACAAATAGAAAAGTAAGGCAATCCCTGCTCTCAAGGAGCTCACAGTCTAATGGGGGAGACTACACAAGTCGGATGGAACAGTCTTGGTGGTGTTTAGGATGCAGTGATGAGCAGGTGGTAATACACTATGGCTAGTCACAAGGAATCTGGCAGTTGTGTAAAAAATAAAGGCAGCATGGTATAGCAAATAGAACCCTTGACTAGGAGTAAAATGTTCCAAATTTTGTCTTTAGACTTATTAGCTATGTGATGATGGGCAAGTCAATTTCTTAGAGCCTCACTTTCCTTATCTGTAAAATGGATATATATTACTTAAGTCATAAGGTTAATAAAGTGCTTTGCAGACCTTAAAATGCATGTAAGTGTCAGATATTTATTATTGGAGAAGGGAGAGTAGAGGTGAAAAGACTTATTAATAGGCTATTGTAGTAGTCTAGAGATCTGGTAATGGGAGTTTGTACTAGGGTAATAGCCATAAGAATAGAGAAGGGGAAATAGAAAAGACTCTTTTTATCGTGAGTTGACTGGTAAATCTAAAGACTAGATTGTCTCTATTAGCAGGAATTTGTAATGGATTAGATAAGAGGTTGGGGAGAAAAGAGTCAGAGGCTTTGAATTTGAAAGAAAGAGGAAATGGTACCAAGGATAAAAGTAGTGAAGTTGGAAGGAAGAATAGGTTTAGGAAGTAAGAGCAAGAGTTCAGTTTTGTATATTTGGAACTTGATATTCTGGTGGGACATCTAGTTAGAAAATAGCAGTATACTTCACTTTAAGCAAGTTAGAATTTACAAGAGAATGAATATTAACTTCACAAAAGGTTTTTCACATATTTCTTTTAAGTGGCAAATGCATGAAATGCATACAGCTTTTAAGAACTGCCTTGGACTTCTGGGAGGCAAGATGGCAGAGTCCCTTGAAAATCACCTGAACTCTATTAAAGTTACCTCCCACAATAGCATCTTAAAACAAATTCTGGAAAGACAGAACCAACAGAAAGACCAGGTGAAACAATTTTCTAGCCCAAGAAAACTTGGAAGGTTGACAGGAAAGGTCTGTCTCCCCCAGATAAAGGAGGAATACAGTCCAAGCCAGTCAGTGTCCCAGAATGACAGCAACAGGCCCTGCCTCCACAAGCCAGCAGGAGACCCTCAGCCCCAGCACAAGTTAGTGAACAAGGCCTAGTGGCCTCAGTGCAGTGGTAGGCAAGAGACCACCCTCATGCCTCTGGAGTAGCACCAGGGTACCCCCCCCCTTTTCCTACACCTCACAGGTCTGGCATAGCAACAGGGTGCCTCTTCTCTCCCCCTTGCCCCCACCAAGGTCTCAGTACAGCACCAGACCCCCTGCTCACCCAAGCACAGTATCAGGCATCACCTGCGTAACACCAGACTAGCAGCCAGGGCCTGCCTTCCCTGGCACAAGAAGCTTGGGACATTGCCCCCTCCACTCCAGGAACAGATTTCAACTTTAAAAGTAACAAAATAGGCTGGAAAAAATGAGTGAAAAACAACAACAAAAAAGAACATGACCATAAAAAGTTATCATGGTGATAGGGAAGATCAAAACACAAACTCATAAAAGGACAACAATGTTAAAACATCTAAATTCAAAGCCTCAAAGAAAAATGAAAATTGGTTTCAGGCCCAAAAAGAACTTTTGGAAGATCTCAAAAAGGTAGAAGAAAAATTGTGAAGAGAGAATGATGCAAGAATGAAAAAAGAATCAACAACTTGATAAAGGAAGCACAAAAAAATGGAAAAAGATGTAAAAAAATATTCAAGAAAACAACTCCTTAAAAAACAGAATTGGCCAAATGGAAAAGAATATGAAAAAGCTAAATGAAGAAAATAGCTCCTTAAAAATCAGAATTGGAAAGGTAGGAGCTAATGACTCTATGAGACATCAGAAGCTAAAGGACAAAATGAAACGAATGGAAAAAATAGAAGAAAATATAAAATATTTCATCAGAAAAACAACTAACCTGGAAAACAGATCCAGGAGAAATAATTTAAGAATTATCATACTACTTGAAAGCCACAATCAAAAAAAGGACCTGCACGTCAAGAAATGATCTTGAAATTATCAAAGAAAACTGCCCTGCCATTCTAGAACCAGAGACATGGAAAGAATCTGTTGATCACCTCCTAAAAGAGCTCCCCAAATGAACAATTATAGCCAAATTCTAGGACTCCTAGGTAAAGGAGAAAATATTACAAGCAGCAAAAAAGAAACAATTCAAATATAGTAGAGCCACAGTAAGGATTACATAGGATTTAACAGCTTTAGAGGATATGGAATGTGATATTTCAGAAGTCACAGGAGCTAGGACTATAACCAAGAATCCACCTACTTACCCAGGAAAATTGGGCATAATTTTTCAGAGGAAAAATATGGTGATTCAGTGAAATAGAGGACTTTCGAGCTTTCTTGATGAAAAGACCATAGTTGAACAAAAAATTTGATCTTCAAACAAAGATTAGAAAGAAAGCAGAAAGCTGAGAAGCAATTTTACAGCAAGCATCTCTAATAAAGGCCTCATTTCCCAAATATATAGAAAACTAGATCAAATTTATGTGAATACAAGCCATTCACCAATTGATAAATGGTTAAAGAATATGAACAGGCAGTTTTCAAATGAAAAAATCAAAGCTATGTATAGGCATATGAAGAAGTGCTCTAAATCACTTTTGATTAGAGAAATGCAAATTAAAATAACTCAGGTATACCTCACATCTATCAGATTGGCTAATATGACAGAAAAAGAAGATGATAAATGTTGGAGAAGATGGGGGAAAATTGGGACACTGATGCACTGCTGGTTGTGAACTGATCCAGCCATTCTGAAGAGCAATGTAGGAACTATGCCCAAAGGACAACCAAACCGTGCATACCCTTTGATCTAGTAATACAACTACTAGGTCTGTATCCCAAAAAAGATCATAAAAAAGGGAAAAGGACCCACATGTGCAAAAATATTTGTAGCATCACTTTTTGTGGTGGTGGCAAAATAATGGAAATTGAGAGGATGACCATCAATTGAGGAGTGGCTGAACAAGCAGTGGTATGTGAATGTAATGGATTGCTATTGTACAATAAGAAATGGTGAGCAGGCAGATTTCAGAAAAACCTCGAAGACTTGTATGAACTGATGCAAAGTGAAATGAGCAGAACCAGGAAAACATTGTACACAGTATCAGCAATGTTGTGTGATTATCAGCTATGAATGACTCAGCTTTTCTCAGCAATACAATGATCCAAAACAATTCCAAAAGACTCATGATGCAAAATGCTATCCACACTTAAAGAACTAATCTGAATGTAGATCGAAGCATACTTTTTTCACTTTATTCTTTTTCATGTTTTTTTTCCTCTTTTGCTCTGTTTCTTCTTTCACAACTGTGAAACATGATATGACATGTATAACCTATATCAAATTGCCTCCCATTTTAAGAAGAGGGAAGGGGAGGGAAAAGCTTTGGAACTCAAAATCTTATAAAAATGAATGCTAAAAATTGTCTTGACATGTAAATGGGGAAAAATAAAATACTATTTAATAAATTTCATCTTCAAATACATGACTCAAGAGAAGCATAAAAGGTGAAAAGGAAAGAGAAACATAATTCAATGAGCCTAAAAATGTTTGTATCGTACATAGGAAGATGATACTTGTAATTCTTAAGAGCTGTATCGGTATTTGCAGTTAGGAGTATACATAAATCAAGGGTTTACATATAAAGTGACTTTGTGGGATGATATACCATCGAAAGAAAAATAAGAGGTAAGAAAGGGAACTACACTGGGAGCAGAAGGAAGGTAGAATGGGGTAAATTATCTCACATGAGACATGAAAGACCTATTACAGTGGAGAGGAAGATGGGAGGTGGGGCAGTGGGCATTGCTTGAATCTTACTCTCATCAGAATTGGCTCAGAGAGGAAAGAACATACACAATCAGGTAGAGAAATCTATCTTACTTTATAGTGAAGGAGGGGGAGTGACTGACAGGATGGAGGGCAGATTAGGGTCAGTAATGGTCAGAAATGAAACACTGGTGAAGAGGGAAAGGATGAAAGGAGAGAGACAAGGATA